TACCTATTTTGAAGATAAGGTGATGGTCAAGCAAAAGCCACAGTACGAAAAGCATGAGGTCTATCCTGTGTATCCTGTGAGAGCAGTTGGCAGATGCTTTCAGATTCAGTAGGTGCACATGACCACAATGAGTGCTGAAGCATTGAATTGTTTAATTATGAAAGTGATATACACTTATTCTAGATACATACTTATTCCTTCTTTTTTGAACAGAAAGAGCAGGAATTTCAGATGTGGATCAAATGTTTCTATTTCTGTCATTGGAAAAATTGAATGACTGAAATTTTGTCAAAGGAATGAAAATTGTGAGAACTGTGTTCCTCTGTAAGGAAAAACCTGGCTGCCTCCAGTAAATATTCTGTTATAGAGAAGGTAAACTATAAGTTCTCTAGGCAAAGATTTTTCTTGTAAAAAAGAAAACTCACAGAATACTTAAAAGAAAATAGATAAGAGAAATTCGGCTGGGATTGAAAGAGGAAAAAGTATTTTAAAAATATAAATTCAACTCTCCTTTAACCTTTGCTCCTCCTTTCAAAACAACAAAACTTTTACAGCAATTCGTGTCTTTCATGGTGGTGTCAGAGCTGAAAGAATAAATAAAAATTTCTATAATTAAAATATTTTTCAAATGTTTTAGTCTATTTGAACAAAAGTACACTGAAACAAAGTCCAATGTCTAGTACATTTAAGTATGCAGAAAAAAGAAGTTGTAGTTTCCGTTACCTCCAGTGAAGCAGAGCAATGTTATCACTGCAGTGCCAGTGTAGGAAAGATGTTGGTCATCAGTAGTGAGATGTTATACAAACTAGATAATTTCTCAGACAAAATTGCTAGTTTGAGTTGTTAATGGTTTTTATAGTAAGATATTACTTTTTTCCCCTCATATGAATCTTTTCCCCTCCTTCATGCACCAGATGGAAGAGGATCCAACAGAAGAGTTGGGTTCTTCATCTTTGTGCAGGAAGGTCCCTGGGAAACCTCCCAGTCCCAGGAGTCCCCAGAATCTGGCCTGCATGTCTACAGAAATATGCACCTATTGATATGGGAGTAAGGCTCGTTTGTGTTTATAGCAAGTGACTACATTCATCTGGAATCATTCTGCATTTCTATGGCCTTTTTACTTTTACACTTGCATAGACAAAAAGATTCAATGCTTCACCAGAATGTGTAATCAGAAATTATTATTTTGATGAAACATTAGACTGTGTTCTGTAGAATGTAATTACATATAAAGGTTTGATGTTTAAGGGAAACAAATTCTAACATTTCTTGTCAGGATTCCAAAATCCTGCCTGTTTGCCTTATCAGTCCTTTTACCAGGTCTCTTCCTCATATCCAGAGATACGTTTCCCTCTTCATGTTTCTATACTAAAATACTTCTAATGCTTAAAGACATGACAAATCCAAATACCTTTTTATATAGCCAGCAACACTTTCTCTACATCTTTGCTTTTTATACTTTCTACCTTTTATAGCCACTTATTCTATTCCAAAGCTTTCTACTATGAATTCTGCAGTTCCTCCCTTCACGACAACGCTGCAATATCCACCATCCACACACTAAGTGCCTGAGCCTTCCTCCCACTCAGGCAGATACAGTTCTCTAAAAACTTGAAATGTTACCACGGTTTTTTTTCCCCTGTCCTACAGTGATTATCTGCCACTGGGTCTTTGAGGGTATTAGTCATGAAAGACAGAGGCTTTTTAAAGTGCTGCATTATCTGTCAAATCTTAAATACAGGCTATCTGTGCAAAGACAGGATTTCCCAGTTCTATTTAACAGGGACTCCAGAACTCACTTTGAGGATTTTAGGCTGGAATCAAAGACCAGGTGTCAGTCACAAAAGCAAAATAATTGAGACCTTTTTTAAAGTATACTGAAAAAAAAAAAAAAAGAAATGGAAATCATAAATACCATAAATACAATGAATTCACTAAATATTAAAACAAAACCCTGAGGTAATTGTATTTGTGAAGATCAACCACTAATGAAACAGAAAGGTTTGGATACATCTCCTTAATTGTAATGCATTGTAAGCGAAGAGCAGTCAAGGAATGTTTCGAATTAATGACAAATACTGTATCTTTAAAGCTATCTTCAAAATAACAAGTGTTACTAGGGATTTTAGCAAGTCATTGTATTTCTTATTTGGCAGCAATGGACTTCAAAATGATTTCCAGGAAATAGCCAACCACTTTTTGCAACAAGTCAAAATTTCCATCAAAGAACACCAAAATTTGGCTTCTAAATTTAATAAAATTGCTGACTTTCTTGGTGAAATTCAAAATGAGATGATTATGAAGAATAATTTTAAAAAGGAGAAGATTGACATTCATTTTTCATTAATGATCTCTGTTCAAAATGAGAGTTTTCATAAAAAATCAGAGAGAGAAGAAATAATAAAGGCAAAGGTAACTGGCCATATTGTAATGAATATAATCTCACAAGCCCCTCCTTGTTAAATCTATCATGCTTCATTGCCATTTAGAAGTCAGAGACTTAAGTATTAAGGCTATAGAGAGAATAGGATAAAAAATCATGTACGTTGATTTCTACCTATGATTAAACAAGGTGCATGTTTCAGAAGGAATTACAACCTTTTGTTCTTTACTGGCATTAAGGCCTTTATCTTTGCATAATGTGGTGGTGTGAATTCTTTTCTGTGTGAAAAGACAGGACCATTTCTTTCAAAAGTCCTTGTAGGAATATCTCAGGACACCTCTATTCTCATACTACATGTTGTTTGCATTTTAGTGGCAAAAACCAACCTCGTGCTGCCAATGAGAATTTTGCTACTTGATTCAGTGGTGAGTAGAATCCAATTTATAGCTCATTAAAGATGTGAATTGTTAAAACTCTGGTGCTCTTTCTCCTGATGAGTTTACAAAATCTCTCTCCCTCCCTTTCTAAATTTCATTACACATTCTAGCTGAAAACTACTTAAGCTTAGCCATTTAACTTGGCAACAAAATGAAAAAGAGATTCTCTCAGAAACTGGATGTGAGTAGCTTCAGCAGCTCCAGCAGGAACTCGAGCTACCATAGTCATTCTGTAGTGCTCATGTAGCCTTGGACCACCTCTCAGTAGCAGTGTAGTTTAAACTGTACTATCATTTAGCTCCAGTGTGCTGGCTTTGTTTTGGGGTATGTCACTGGTGAATGTGTTTATTTATTCTGAAATTAAATTATGATTTAAAAAGGTCTTAAAAAACAATAGTAAACTTTTATTGCTGTTGGAAAATGCATTATTCACTGTATCTTACACCACTGATGAATATGCTGTGTTCCTTACAGGGGGCATTTGTTATACATGTTATAATACTTTACACATAAAGGGCCATTAGCAAAAACAATATTTCATATCTCTATGAACCTTTTCAGCTGTGAATCTCAGTCCACTTTACAGGCAAATAATCTTTAAAGGCACATGAAAGGTGTGTTTAAATAACCCTCTTTCATAAAACTCAGAAATTTGAAGTGATTTGTTTTCATATCATCATGAAGCATTGGAATTAAAGCCTGTGGTTTTCCTCATGGAAGACCATGGGACAAGACAGCAGCTTCCTCAACCTGCATTTAGCAATGTGTAACATCCTCAGATCGCTGAAAGAGTTACTATGCGTTGACTCTACCTCCAAAAACAGGGATCCTTGCAGTTTGTGTCTCTGGGTCCCTGGCATCTCCCCGTTCAAATGCACTATCTGGGTGAGCAATGGGAGCAGTGAGTACAAGAGAGTAAAATACTCACTAAATAATCAAGGAAAATAGGATTTTTTTTTTTCTCTACTTTTACTCCTTGTCCTTGTAATTACCAATTCTATTTAAGATTACTGTTAGCACTCTAGAGGGATTTGTATGGCTGAAGACTGTGAGAAACTGTAATGGTTCTGAAGGCAAAGTAATTAATGCTCAGTAGTCCATTACAGCTCAAAGGACTTATCTCTCACACTGGTAAGTGTCCTCCAAGGAAGCTTCACTGCAGCAAGACCTCTCCCAGGGAGACACCAGAATGCTGCCCGGGACACAGCCAGACAAGGTATGTACATGTGGACAGCTATTTTGTCTTAAAACTTATCCAAGGATGAAGAATTACTCTTATAAGCTGTGTCACTGAACCAGGCCATCCAGAAAAGTGTCTTCTGAACTCCCAGGAATGAGGTGACCCTTTTCTTATTTTTATTAGCATTATTATAAGTTTGGCATGGAAGAGTGTTTTGGTCAATGAATGCCCAGATGGTGTTGCCAGCATGAAATGCCCTTCCAAAGGTCATAACAGTTCAAGATATTTTGTTATGATTTAATTAATGCAAATTGAAAATGCAAGCAGAGAAAATCATGCTCAATATGTCAAAAAATGACAGAAAAAAAATTAATTGTGATCAATATTATTACAAGTAATGCCAGCTCCATTACAAAACTGATTAAATAATACTTCAAATGGGGTTAATAATCTGCAAAAGTGAGTTCTAAGTAAAAACAACCAAATAAAAATCTATTTGTAGGGAAGTATTTATCCTCTACAAGTTGTAGAGAAACACAAACAGTATCCATGTAAGATAAAAGTTCTCTACACGCCTTCCAGCAAGAAATGTGTGCAAGGGAATCAAGAAGTAATGCCTTAGCCATAAAACCAGCATGCCTATGCCCAAATGCATCTATAAAACAACAATATGAAAGTTTGGTGCATCTTACTGCAGCATAGTAAGGAATCAGGTAACCAATGAGGAATTCTGAGGAAGAGCTGTGTGGGGCATCAAAGGTACCACCTGCGACTGCAGGAAGGGGAATACACAACCCAACAAAATGGGATGGGGTGGGGTTCAGTTCAACGTGAAGACACTGAAAGCAGCAGCCTGTCTGCATACAGGTGTTTTCACAGGTGAATCAGGTGTCTGTGTCCTCCAAGTGCCAAAGCAGAGCTGACATTAGCAGTCAATGAAGTATAAAGGCAACTCGGCTCACCCTACATAAATATCTATATTTTGCAGTCAACTTGGTGGGTGTAGAGGAGATGGAAAGACAGATGATGGATGAATGCTAGGTGAAATCAAAGTTTTATTTATAGTTGTAGGCCTACTCATATTTGAAAACTAGGGGATAGGGGGTTGACATAAGATAGAGAGGGTTAAGAGTGATAGAAACTATGGCTTGGGATAGATTACTAATGAAATGAATGAACTTTTTACAGGAAATAAGTGAAACTTTACATATTTGATCCCAGGAAATTTCAAGAACTGTTTAATTCCCAAATTGGATACAGGAGAAATTGTTGATTTTTCTCCAGAAAAAAAGTTCCCTAAAATGAATTAAAGAATTTGAAAAAATTACTTGCTACATTTCTTAATTAAAAATGAACTTTCTAAAACCTGTGATATTTCATGTCATTACAGCTGAGTTGCCTTTCAGTATAAAACTATGTTTCTTAATGCCTTATGGACTCATCATTCTTTTCCATATTCTCTGCTGAAGAACAGACTCAATTAGAAGACCGCTCACATAACATACCTGTAATCATGCAAAGCCTGTGAATCTGCTATGTTATATGACTTTTATGACTTTACAGAAATTTAGCAATGAAGGAATCTAGCTCACAGATGCAAAGGGGACAGAACTATAACTTCTCTATTACTCTACACATCATAATTGTTTAACCAATTTTGATGTGAAAAAAAAATGAAAAGTAGTATTTAAATGCAGAAAACCAAAAATATTTAACTTATATTTTCAGCGGGTAACAAACAATTATTTCTATTAAGGTCAAGATTTTCTGGAGAAAATCAGCAATGTGTACAAAATTGCAGCTGTTATTGTAGAAACTATTTCAGCTTATTGCTATTATGAAACTCAGATTGGCACCATAAAAACAGAGCATAAGAGGCAGTTCTTGCTTCAAAGTCTGGCCATCTAAGTAGGTCTGATAGAGTAAAAGTCAAAGTAATTTGCTGAAACTCACACAGAAATTCCACAACAGAGATACAGAAATAAAGATCATCAAAAATCATTAAAATCTCCTGACCTACAAAGGGATTTAGAGCAGTAGGTATCATTAAAGAAAAACAGAATGAGTCCACAGCATGTAGGTGAAGAAAGCTTAACTTGGTAGAGCTTGTCAATCTCTTGGCAAAAGCATGTGAAAATTTTTTAAGAGGAGGGATGTGCTGGAAGGCTGATTCAGATTTTGTGAAAGGAAATGAGCAAGCTCTGGGATTTGCAGCTACAAAGCCAGAGATAATGAAGAAATCATATTTGTCAAAGGAGCATTGAAGAGCAGAAAGTGGAAGAGAAGAAATGCCTGGAGCAGAGGGGCCCTCAATGCCACCAGCCCAGAACATCAGGACTCTGATATCGTGCTCTGCTTGGACATTGCTGTGGAAACTGTATGCTGGGGGCAGAATGAAGAAGGAGGATTTGTCAGGATTTGCACTGAAAGGGGAACACAAAAGTTGGGTTCTTCACAATCAAAACCTGATAGCAGAATCTGGTCGATGATAAAGACATCACAACGTATCTTAGAGAATCAATACAAGTTTCAGATGTGGCAAAATGAATGTCAATGAAAAGCAAGAGTTATGCATGTAGTGATAAAGCATTAAGGTATGTATCATTTCCTATCTAAACACTGATATCTTTCTTAAATTTTATTTCTTTGAGTAAAATATGCCAGAATAAATCACAAAGTGTAACAGAAAAGACGTTTGGCATAAAAAAGTCTACCAAGCCATAGCTGAAATTAATTATTGAAGTTAGATTAAATTTAAACAAAAATTACAAATCCCTGTGTACTATAACGAAGTTTCTTGTGTTGGACATGCATGGCAAGGTACAGTCATTTTAAAGCATATAAGTGATTCTGAAGAACTTTTTCCTCTGCAGGTATTAGATAAAAAAAAAAAAAAAAAAAAAAAAAAAAAAAAAAAAAAGAATGACACTTTTGAAAAACAGAAGAACCTTAGAAAAGATAGGATGTTGGAAGAACAATCATTGTAAGAACAGAAAATCTCTCCCTAAAGTCGTTTATGCATCACTCCAAGTACTTTGCATTAATGACCTGAACAACCATAAAAGAGCAACATGACCCAGCAGCATACTATAGTGATTCAGTAATCCAGTAGTTAAATAACTATAAAATAATGTTTTTTCTTTAATGCACTGATCTTAATTTTAAATTGTTTCAGAAACTTAGGTATTTTTTTCATATCTCAGTGCTGTTCTGATCTCAGTATACATTTAACAGAAAAAGGAAAAAAAAACCAAACCAACACATATTTACTCCAAGTAACTCTGTGCAACATTACTCCACAGATATTGGTAATTTTTTTCCCTGCTTTTTCCATTAATATTATCTATGGAGCAGGTAAGATATAGGTTCATATAAGTAATGTGAGAGATTTAGAAAGCAAAGCTCCTGTGCCCTTGTTTTGTTTCAGTATCAGACCTCTATTGTAATCACTGTAGAATTTAGTCTGGGAGCTCGTGCTGTCCGTGCTAGAATAAGCATCACAAAATCATTCAGACATGTAATTTCTGATGTCAGAAGAGAACGTCAGAATTGCTGCTGAAATAAGGAAGCTATTTTTGGAGTATAGCAATCTTCCAAAAGAAAGCCATTTACAAAAAAATCCAACCCAGGAACATTTTTTACCAAATCACTGACCCTGCAATTCATACAGCCAGTGACTCCTCAGTGATCTCCTAATCAGCCTTGAATTTCCTTTCTGTTTACCGTATTTATATTAACCAAATGAATGTATTTTGTAAAATTTAAAATAAATCAGATGCGGTACATGAAAACTTATAAATACATCTAAAATATTTTAAAATGCTTTGAATTAATGCATGTAGAATGCATGCATTTAATGCTCTGTATCTCACAACAATAAAATAAGTAGCAGTCTTTAGAGATCATAGCATCTTAACTGATAATCGAACTGACATGGAAATATAAAACAATGAAAAAAACCTTTGTCAGAAACAGATTGATTACAACACATTCTTGCCTTGATTTTATTAAATGCTTTTAAATACTGATAAACTTTACCAGAGAAAAAATAGAAATTATACTGATATGATTTGTATTATTTCAAATCTCTGAATCTGTCAATATAATAATCTCTCCTGCAAAGCAGCTACAGCTCCTTTAAGCATCCTCAGCAGTATGTATGCTTTTAAATTTTAAAGCATTAGCAAAGTAGTACCCCCCAAATCCAGCCTTGAACTCTGACAGACACTGATCTCTTTTCTCCCTCCCACACCCTGTTTTATCAGACACTATTTTGTTTAAATTGGCTATTAAATAGCATAGCACTGTACCTTTAAATACAAATCAAACAATATTCATATTCCCACGGTGCTGCTAGTTTCCCTTATGCATTGAATCGCCTGTAGATTAAAAGCTCAGAATCTGAAAAGGATTCTGTTCTGCAGACCAAAGTTCTCTGTAGGAGATGAGGGAGAGGGTCAGTCCCGGAGTCACACACACAACAGGCAGAAAACACACTTGTGATCCTCAGCTTTGGATAGCATCAGAAAGGGGAATAAAAAGCAGAAACACATGGCACACTGAGAACTGGTATCACTTATGGCTTCTAACCAAAGCAGCAATTAAACACCTTTCATCATTCCCCCAAATGCCTGATTTTTGTAAGAACTGAAAGACACACACACACACAAAGGAAAATCCCCTCTGAGCAGCAAGGAAAACTTAATCACCTACCATTTTCTTTGCACTCTTCTGGAGGTTTAGCCTTTTTCGCAAGTCGTGGATCCAGCCATGATGTTGTCTTTGTGTTATGGCTGAAAAGAAAAGAGATCACTCTGAGCAGACACATACTGAAAGGAATCAAGTTTATTCCTTAAGAAAAAAGGGTTAGTCCAACAAAATTGCAATCGATACACTTAATTTGCTTACTGGTTCTAAGTAGCCCTGAAGGAGGTGTAAGAGTAATTGTGCAAGGCAGTTGTAAATTTGGCAACCTCAGCTCCCTGTCCTCAAAGCAGCTATTTTTATTAAAATCAACTAGAATGTTGCCAAGTTAACCTCATTGAAAATGCAGAACTCATCCAGAGCAAAAGGAATTTATTACAAATACAGTGTTCTCCCGTTGATCGAGTGCAGGCGACAGGATTTTGTACCATTCTCACAGTTTTCGGATAGAATTATTTTCATCTTAAACCTGTCCTTTTCATAAATACAGGTTTGTTATTTCTCTCCAGCAGCAGTGACAAGGCACAGCAAAAGTGATGCAAATTACAGCATGCTCCTGCAAAGTCTACATTTCCGGACAGGGTGATTAATGATACTTTGTTTAACGAACCTTTATCTCTCCATATATAATCCTCCTATAGAGATAAAATAGATATGCACAAGCTGAATGAATCATGTGGCTCCTTTCTATACTCAGAATAGATCTTTGAGAAATCAGCCATCAAAGAGTACTGAACTGGCAAAAATTGTTTTCTGGGAGATTATTTTGCCAAATGAATTGATACTTAGCACAGCTAATGAGACTTAAAGCCAGATCCTTTCAATGTATACCTTACCATAAGCAATGAAATTTAGAGCCAAATATTGTAAATATATTAAAGAAGACTATAAAGCAGAAAATTATGTGATCATTACTCCTTGATTTTTTGAGATGCCTTTCCTACAATACCATCATTCAGAGACACTTCTAACCCATGTTTTATTTATCTGAGACATCCTAGGAGGAAGCTCATTCCATACAATACTGAATTATTTTTTTTATTATTAAGTTGCTGTGTCATTTTAAAGTGTGCTTACGACTTCTCTTATAAGCATTGGTATAAGGTATACAAAAACAGGGGACCTAGCAAAAAAATGATTAGGATGTAATTGTTTGTGAGTTTGTTAGTTACTGATACAGTCCATGTGATCCCAAAACTGTTTTTTTAGGGAAAAATAAATAAATAGAACCAATTCCCTCTCCCACCTTGTCTTCCATGGCAGATAAATTTTCCGCTGCCTCAATTTCTCTCTCTCTCTCTCTCTCAAAACAGTGACAGTACCTACTTCTCAGCATAACTGTCACCATGTTAAAGCTTCCTCCACATTTTGAATGGGAAAGAAGGTACAGCAGAGTTATGTATGGATAAAATGGCAACGAAAAAGAAAATTGAGGCATTTAAATGATTTTTTCTAAAAAGCATTATCTAGTCTAGAATACCATTCATGACAGGTGAAGATGATAAACAAACCCTTCCCTTTGAGAGCTGAGCTATATTTGCAGAGTACGAAGAATGATGAGCCAAAGGTAAGATGAATTTGAAATTATGCCAGCAGCCTGTGCTTGATTGCAAATGTAACTCAGACACTTTCTCAGAAGCTCTGGCTGCCTGTGGTCTCCTGTAGGGTGCATTTTTATGCTGCAGTCACAGCCCAACCACAGCTTGTGCAGACATACTTGAGCTAGCTTTAAGTTAACTGGGGGAGATGCTCCAGCAGTGTCAGTGCTGCAGGATGGAGCTCAGCGTGGGCTCATCACCCCAGCATCCATCCACTGAGCTCCTTGGGTGCACCCAGCAGCCCATGCTGAGCTCCACATCACCAAGGATACCCTGCTAGCAGTGCCAGAGCTCAGAGTGAGCTTGGACACTCCTGTGGGAGCTGCAGTTGCATCTCTGGAGTGTGGGCATGTCTGGACAACAGCCACTCTCTCCCAGATCTTAATTCTGAATTATTTTAGGGACCCCCACTGACTGCAGGGACCAAATTAGATCACAGATAGTTTCCTATGACTTTAAAATAGCAATGTACATGATTACTATTAGCAATGTTTGCTGTGGTATAGAGCAAATCTCAAAGCATTTTACAAAGGAAATAAAAATAACCATCCCTGTCTTAGAGGCAAGAAAATGGAGACACAGAGTCATGAAATTACTGTCCAGAGCCACCAAACAAGCCAGTGACAGCAGCAATACTAAAAGCCAGCTCTGTTGCAAGTCAACTGGCCAATGTGCACCCATCAGACTAGGCAGGTTCACCAGCCCTGAAAACCCCCTATAATATTTTTAGAAAGAGTTTTCAAGTATCTGCAAAGACAGGTGCCAAGCTGGAAACAAGCCCAATTCAATACTGATATTTAAAAATGTGAATTAGTTGAATTACAACCTTCAAGGCTTTAGTTGAAACTGAGAACAGAAAGCAGTTAAACTTCCCTTTAGCATAAATGGGGCTTCCACAAACCCAGCAGGACTGATGTCCCAGTTTTGTGCAAGATGGTCACTTTAAATAAAACCATAAAAAACCCTAAAAAATCAACAGCTCTTTCAATAGAAGAGTGATCCTTCAGTCTGCAGTGAGATTTCATAGAATGGAGATGATATTTCATTTAGATCAGTTCTTAGAGCACTCAATATCCTCTTCTAGGTGATATCTGTTAAACCTGTTCAGCTACTTAGAAAAAGCAAAACTCATCCACAAGAACTTTTGTCTGTAACAAATAATTGCAGGAGCAAATAACCTTTTGAAATTCATCTCTCTTTTCCTTGCTGTGCCTTTTCTTTTGCCCTGCCTCTCCACTTTAGAATCTGTACTAAACATTCAATGCAGTGGGACTAAACAACTCTAGCAATGGGACTTCAAAGGCTTCTAGACAAGTACTCTAGTGGGTAAAAAATCCTTTCCTGCTCTGAAATCAGGACTTCAAAGAAGGCAGAATCAACCCCACCTGACTTCTAACACCTCCACAATAACACCAGTGTCTTCCTAGTGTTTGCTTGGATCATCTTAAGCAGCCAGGTTCACAGCACAAAAACACTCCTTCAAGGAGGATATACATTGCTTTCAGTAAAAGAGGGAAATGAGTAGCCCTGGAGTACAGCATTGTGGTTTTTATGCATTTCTACTTCTGTCCTGCATAGGAGGTTTACTTGGCAGGGTATTCTTCCAGTCTCCCTTGTGTCAGCTATTCCCTCTTCAGCTCTGCAAAGAACTAGGATGTGTAAAAGCTAAAGGGAGACAACCTTTATCTTCTAAACTGTTTTTAATAAAATTTAAAGGAAGTCTTGATAGGAAAGCTTCAACCATGGGAGAAGAGACAGAAAGAAAAATAAATTTGTCAAATTAACATTAATGGCAAAAATAACATTAACACAAATCTGCTGCATAGGCTGTGAACACTGAATGCTTAAGCACTAAAAAAACCTTGTAAAGGGCATAACTTGCCTACCTTATCACTAGGTATAATCATGTGTGTCCACTTGGGAAGTCTTGTAGACAGACCAGAAGGAAAAGGGGCTGGGGGTTTAAAGATTAGTTATGAATAAACAGCAGATGAATTGCAGCAGCAGTTCTCTCAAACAGGCATTTGGAGTTGTCAGTGATGGAACAAGAACAAAGTGATGCACAAAAGCATCCTGTGAGAAATACAGCTGTGGCTCCAGCAACATCTTACACCGACCAATGCTTCATTACTTGGCAATAACTATACCTTATCATTAAAAACATGTCTAGAAAGCCCATAATTTCAATGATTTTGATTACTAGTTAGGACTATTGAGATAAGTGCTGGCAAATCAACAATGCGTGTCTTAGAATCTCTCTAAAAATCAACAGTACAATCCTAATTCTTGAAATTTGAAAGCAAAATTTCCTTTACAAATGGATCCCTTTGGTCCTGCTTCAAGCAGGTAAAGCATGGAAAGGTTATAACTTTTTAAAATTCATCCAAATGTGTTCCCTATGTACAAAATAGAAATGGCTTATAGGCCTGAAGTGCATTGCAGTTTTTTTTTTTTTTTTTTTTAAGGTCATTCAGTAAAGCAGTGAAGCTTAATATTTTAGCCAGAAGTCAATAAAATAACTACTGCTAAACTAACTTAAATCCTCACTCTTTGCCAAGTATTTGCACCTAGCACTTTATTATAATCAGAGTCATCTAGTATTACTTGCATACAATTTTAAATATACGTGGAAAAAATGTTCTTAGACTGGGTGAAGAGTGAAACAAGGAGTGAAACAAAGCACAGAATACTTCCCAGAAGCCTTGACTCATGTTTTTCTCCAGAATTTCTTTGTAGGTCTGCTTTTAAGACTTCACATAGACTTTAAATAGCTCTGTTCCCTGTTAATAGCTCTGGAGCTGGGTACCAGGACAAGAGGTTTTCTGGGAATCTCACTGGATACTACTCAATATCTTTAGGAAGTAAAAAAACACTAGGAGTGTGGCTTTTCGTATCTAACAAAGTCTTATCTTTTTATTATAATTATTTGTTAGACAGTATATGATTTTACTTAAGATTTTAATATAATGGATTTGTGTTAACAAACTGTCAGTTTAAAGCACTTGGACAGATAAAGCTTCTTGTACTAACAGAGCCTGCAGGCAATCTCTTGAAACATTTTTGAAGGAAATACAGAAAGTACTTACTGACAAGGAATAGCCTTAATGTCTTTTAAAAGCACTGCAAACCTAGTCTAAATTGTGCATCTTACAAGGTATGTAACTGGCATCTTATTGTGGAAAGCATTTCAAAATGGGCATTATTTCAGTGTGTTTGGGGGCAGCACATATGGGTTTGTTTGGGTTTTTATTGTGAACGCATTACATTTAAACTCGTCCTTGATCTAATAACTTGAGCAAAGGGGAGCATACAAGAAGAAAACCACAATACACTGTAATATCCTAATTTCAGTAATGCTAACTCCTCACACCTTTTTCTTTAGGCTGAAGCATTGCTTATCTGCAGAGATTTTCAAGTGGCACAATAATGATCTTCAAGTAATTTTTGTGTGGAGGGACACAGATAGGAAACCAGCAATTTTGCAACCCATC